GTACTGCTCATCTGCTGCTTTGGGGGTGATATTTTTCTTTTTGCTTGATTTCAATTGTTGTTAGTGGCACAGTGTTACTCTTTTGTTACTGCTCTACAACTCTGATCCACTTACTGTTTCAAGATAGGTGCTGAAGTTTTTATTTTGCTTTTAGGTGTCCTTCACAATGAGATGGGGGAAAGTAGATCTAGACAGGACCACAGAATATCTTTCATTGTAGGACGTGTGTTGATTAAGAAAAACAAAAATGCATGGAAATAGAAATAATGGGCCACACCAAGGCAGTGACACTCTGCAAAGATGTTTCTAGTTTTAAATGGAATGCAGAAGATAACTCATGGGGTGAAGGTTTTAGTCTTGCAGCATTAGGGAATTTTCTGAAATTTATTTTTTATCAAAAGCCCAGACTAGATCTATAATGTCTCATAAAGCCTGTAATAAATTCTGACGGATGTGCCTTGTGTATCTGTCATGGGCTTAGGGCTTTTGTTTCTCTCTTTTTTCCTTTTTTCCACTTAAATGGTGCCAGGAAGGAATATTAGAATCAAAGCCAGTGCCGTAAGGAGCAAAATCAGTTCAGGGGAAAAAAAAAAAAAGGAAATTATTGGTAGAGCAAAAATCAAATCCATTTTACACAGGTTTGGACTGAAGAGGAACTGGATCAAAGAGGAGAAGTTTAAAAGGTATATTTTGCTTTTCTTTGAGACTTGAATGCTGAAAAGTGCTCAGAGTAGCAATGCACATACGTTCCTGGGTAATCCCATTTAAATCACAAAAGTTACTTTCAGGTACAGATCGTTTGTTACCTCTTTCATGTCCTGACCTTTATATGGTTTCAGAGGATTCAAAGAAGCCATTAAATCCTGACCATATTTAACTTGGAAATATGCATAATACAGGAGAAGGATTTGTCTAATAAACTTTGACAGGCACGGCATATCAGCATTTTTTTCAATATGCACAACATTTTTATAGTCTGTTTTGTGAGAGATGCTGGAGATGTAACTTAAATTTAAAGTTACAATGCTTGTTACAAGATTCATTTGCACTAAAGGGATGGAGTCTTGTCAAGGCAAGTGGAAAGTACAGTCAGAAGGATATAATTTCTAAGTACCTCCTGTCTCTTCTCCTTGCCCTCCTGTTTCTGCAGGCCTCCTCCTCAGGGTCTGCAATGGAATAAAAGGAATACACTCAATAGCATCATTTTGCTTCTTTATACTCACTGTGGTTCCCTTTTACAATGAACCAGCTTACAGACTTCACCCGTTAGACATCTGTTTTGCTGTTCCAAGCAACTGCTAAGGAGGTAAATGAGGAAAAGGACTGTGGCTGCCAGCATGCTATGTGAAGGTTTATTCCAGCCTGTGACAGCCTGGACTCTGTTACTCCTTCAGTGGTAACGGGGGTCCAGGTTAATCCACTCATGCCCCGCTTCTACATGTCTACCACTCACTGCAAAAGGACTTTACACCTTCCCCAACACCGTGTCTAGTTGAGAGAAAGGAAGTGAATGACTTTCAGCACTGAATTCTTTACAGGGGAGAAACTATTGCACTGGAAATGTTTCCCAAGTACATATCAAATATCAAACAGTGAATTATTTTGTATGCGGATTTCTTGGCTTTGGTCATTTTTCATATGGTGATTATTGTGTTTGCATTCCAGAAAGTCATGTGTATTTTAAAATGTTTTTCAAAAAATGAACTTGTTTGGTTTTGAGGTCACAGGAGAAATTTCTTGCCTTTTCTGGGTATTCTCTGTTTAGCAAGAAAGCACTTAGTATAGAAGGATAAATTATGGTATCCCATAGGAGCCAGTGTCATATTGTGCAACTCACACAAACACCCATGCGCTTGCAGAGGAGAGCTCTGTTTGTTCAAGAATAAGATCTGGTACTTCTCATAGCGGGAGGTCATATTACCTTAAAAAGCCTCCTCTCCGCAGGTCTGCCTGATGAATAACATCTGTTCCCATAACAACTGCCTCTCCAGTAGGAGAGATGGGCTCCATGGCATGCCAATAGCAAAAGTAGTCCACAGACAGCCCTATATCAAGCAAGCAAGAGGCCACAGCGAGTAACAAGAGACTTCAATACAGACCTGATTCAGACCCTAGTGGAAACATCAAGAAAGAGTCTGGCAGATTTCAGGGGGTCTTAGGTTAGAAAGCGTCATAACCCTGTCTCTGCTCCTATAATGGTAGTACTACCATCTTAGATAGTAAGATTTCTCCAGCCCTATACCTTCTCAGCAGCAAACAGAAAACCATGGTTCACTTTGTAATCATATTCATGCAAACAAACAGAGAAAGTGAAAGCAGGTAGGTTTCTCCATACTTAAAAAAGATGTAACTGTAATTTGTAGTCTCAGTCTACCAGCCTTCTCATGGCAGGAAAGTTTTGTGCAAAGAGAGATCGCTGGGAAAGGGACTCCTTTGCTTTGCTTCCATTCAGAAGAAGACAGTGAAATCCTGTTCCACACAGGGAAAACCTATTCATAACAGGTAAAATAAACTTTTAGCTTTCATCCAGCTCTTTTCATCTCAGGTAATAAAATCAAGGGAATTTATATTGAATTACCAATATTTCCACTGGAAGTAGGTAAAAAATTTAGCTGAAAAGACATAGGAATAAATTTTGCTGGGAGAGAGTAATTTGGTTTCACAAGTATCAAGGTTTTAAAATTCTTTTTAGTTTTTCAGGGGAATGAAAACAAAACCTCTGAACATTTGTCAAAATTAAATTGTAGGGAAACACTTCTAACAATAAAGCACAATTTTTTCAGCTCTGATCCTCTCTCACTCTCTTCCTTTCCTGCTTACCCTCTCACTCTCTGTCACCAGAGGTAGCTGCAGAGCCCTGGATCACAAACTTTTCAGAGGAAATTGTTTTGAAATCAGTACATCTCAGTGAATGAATTCTGTCAGGAATGTTCATAAACAGTTGTGCTTGGGAAATGTTCTTGTCCCAAAAAATTGATATCTTACACATCTAAACAGCTGCTCAGCTGTGAGGTTTTGGGTCAAAAGCACGCAATGAATTGCTGAAAAGACAGTCCTATATATTAAAGATGTCTGGGCTATTCTCCTGTCTATTTTTTCATGGAGTATAAATTCTGTTATATACCATTCAGCCTTTTCTTGCTATACAAATCACATATGTAATTAAAGCATTCATTCCCACAGTTTTGTTCTCTTGAATGTGATCCCAAGGATTTTAAGGATGTACCTGAAAATAGACAGTGGGAAAAAAAAATTCAGTCTAGCCTTTGTTTATTTCTGTGAGCAAAAAAATCTTGTCTGGTTTTAAAAGCAAAGGCAAACGCATGAGCCCCACTTTCTGCCAGTTGTATTTCTTTAAGTATAATTATATTTAAGTATATATATACAAGATTACAGAGTTGCCTCAGACAGAAAACCTTTACCCTGGTATAGCATTTTGAGTTTTCTATGGAGACAGACTTGCTTATTTTTTCTTAGAGGTTAGAAGGGTATTTGCTGTTGTGTTGACATTTTGCATCATCTTCTTCCTTTTTCATCTGAAGGAAAATATGCAGTGCTGAAATAACAGTGAAAATACATTGCTCCATTTCAGTGACATGAATTGTATATGTCTGTGCATCAGCAGGTTAGTTCCAGGGGCCAGAGGAGGATTCCTTAATCCCTGATATATAGAGGAGGCAAACACAATGGATTTTTTTCTTTCTTTGATTGTGTCACCACTTCTAAAAATCTCTGTCCGAAGAAGTTATGCCTTGTGTGGGGGGGAAAAAGAGAACATTCCAATTAGAAACAACCTAACTTCTCTGTCACATCTGGCCTTCATGCCTCAATAATCCCCTGAGCAGAGCTCATAAATAATGAGTGCTCAGAGAGTGACTGTACAATTCCAGTGCATTCTATTGAATTCCAGGGGATGCACAAAAGGATAGCACATATCCTGAAGGCAAAAGCGTGTGCTGTTTTCTTGGTCTTCTATAAAATGTATATTGCTAGTAGTTTAATCACTGTTCATTGAGTCCTGATGGTAGGCTATAAAGGGCACAAAAGAAAATTGCTGTGCATAAACAGAACTGATTTGTAACTGTTTATCATTACCATGCTATCTATGTCAGAGCTTCTGTTGTAGCTTTATGTGATACAGTTAAAATATACTGTGATTTGAAAAAATATAGCAAAGTACAAGCAAGCAATCATCAAGAGACAAACTCATCATGTTAAAAAAAAACAACAAACAACAACCCTTTTTTCAGGTACAAATAGTCTAAAGGATGTAAAAAATAATCTTAATCTCACTTAAATGAAAAAGAATAGCCACATGCTTAACTGAGGTGAATTTACTAATTCAATGGACTTCAACAGACCTATCCTTCTCTTGTTCATTGGCAGGATAATAACTTTAGTTTCATTCAGTGCCAAAATCTTTGCAAGTGTTGAAAAAGAAAAGTAACTACATTGTAAGAGAATGAGAGGGAGATATAATGCGATCTTGTTCCATCAACCTCAGAGAAGCATACTCAGGTGGAACACGAAAGAAAGATGGAAAAGTAAGTCAACTTCACGTGATGTCTCCTGGTAAATCACCTTCACCTCAGGTTATGAACATGGCACACCCTCAGGACTGGACTTTCTTACTTCGAATATGGTTTGAAATAGTCAAAGAGGTAGGAAAGAAAACAATATACATGTCTGGTTCCAAAATTTTCAAGTCTATATTAGTTTTATAAGAGGACATAGAGAAAAATGCATCTGAGAACTTAAGAACCTAGATCTGTGTTCAAATGCTGTGTCTTTGTCACATATTTAGAGGTACCCTCTTGGTATGTTGTTCCTAAAAGGATATTATATGTTGCAAGCTGCTTTCATTAGCCAAAGTTAACTGGTCTTGCTGAACACATCTTCTACCTTTAAACTCTTTCCAGGTAGTTTTTCAGGGATCCATTTCATAAAGGCAGAGGGACTAATTCTGTGATGGTATCTGTTTTGTTTTCTTTCCTCTGCAGGCTTAAGTGATAACTGGGTAACTTGTTAGCAGAACAGAAATGAATAACTCAACGTACATAAACTCTTCCACTGAAAATGTGATGGCTTTGGAGAGTCCCTATAAAACTGTAGAGGTGGTCTTTATTGTCCTGGTAGCAGGGTCTCTCAGCCTAGTCACCATAATTGGGAACATCCTGGTCATGGTGTCAATCAAAGTCAACAGGCACCTACAGACTGTCAATAACTATTTCCTGTTCAGCTTGGCCTGCGCTGACTTGATCATCGGCATCTTTTCAATGAACCTATACACCCTCTACACTGTGATAGGGTACTGGCCTTTGGGGCCTGTCGTGTGTGACCTCTGGCTGGCTCTTGACTATGTGGTCAGCAACGCCTCTGTAATGAACCTCCTCATTATCAGCTTTGACAGATACTTTTGTGTCACCAAGCCTCTGACCTACCCTGTGAAGCGAACCACTAAGATGGCAGGCATGATGATTGCAGCTGCGTGGGTGCTGTCCTTCATCCTGTGGGCCCCTGCAATTCTCTTCTGGCAGTTCATTGTGGGAGGAAGGACTGTCCCAGACGGGGATTGTTACATTCAGTTTTTTTCCAATGCTGCTGTCACTTTTGGTACTGCTATTGCAGCCTTCTACTTGCCTGTTATCATCATGACTGTCCTTTACTGGCAAATCTCTCAAGCCAGTAAGAGTCGAATAAAGAAAGGAAAAAAGGAAGCTGCCCAAAACCAAGATACAGTTTCCCCCAGCCTTGTCCAAAGCAAAACAGTGAAACCAAACAATAACAACATCCCAGCCAGTGGTGATGGGTTGGAACACAGCAAAATTCAGAATGGAAAAGCCACTGGAGAGACTGTGACGGAGAACTGTGTTCAAGGGGAGGAGAAGGAGAGCTCCAACGACTCCACCTCTGTCAGTGTGGTCGCTTCCAACATGAAAGAAGATGAAGCTGCCAAAGATTTCAGCCAGGCTTCTGCCTCCCAAGACCATCTCAAAGTGGGAAACTCCAAGCTGACATGCATCAGGATAGTCACCAAGTCCCAAAAGGGTGATTGCTGTGCTTCCACCAACACTACTGTGGAGATTGTAGGCACTAGTGGGGAGGAGAAGCAGAATAGTGTAGCCCGGAAAATTGTCAAGATGACAAAGCAGCCAGCCAAAAAGAAACCACCTCCTTCTAGAGAGAAAAAAGTGACAAGGACGATTTTAGCCATCCTCCTGGCCTTCATCATCACCTGGACCCCATACAATGTGATGGTGCTCATCAACAGCTTCTGCACATCCTGCATCCCTGGTACTGTATGGACCATAGGTTATTGGCTCTGTTATATCAACAGCACCATCAACCCTGCTTGTTATGCGCTCTGCAATGCTACCTTCAAGAAGACCTTTAAGCACCTTCTTATGTGTCATTACAAGAATATAGGAGCTACAAGGTAAAAATAGTAACAAAAAATAATAATGGAAAGGGTGAAGAAGATCCAAATTAAGTTAAAAAAAAACACAAACAACTAGATAAATGCCATAGCACTTTATGCTCTTTTACAGAATGTGCAATCTAGGATGTTAGTGGAAATACTGACATGGAGCATCAGCTCCACTCCTGAGAACTACACTTAGAAACATTTTTTTAAATTATTGAAAACAAATCCTGTGGACATGGAGATGTCTGAGGAATTATTCAAGGATATGGACTGGAGGCACAGTTCCTTGCTTTCTGCAAGTATTCTGCAGAAGGGCTTTAGAGTCTACAATTTTTGGTCATTCTGTGCAAAATCCTTGTTCTTCTCTTCCTTCCTTCCCCCCCCCCCGTGTCTGTTTAGTATGTTTTCATCTGGGAAAAAAAAAAAAAAAGAAATTTTAACAGCAACTGTGTGGAAGAAGCATGGGAGTGAGTTTGGAAGATCATTATGTATTTGAAATTAATCATGGTAGAAGGTTTCTAAACCTCAAAGTTGTCTAAAGCTTTTTTGCCACTGTCATGTAAGAACTTTAATGTTAGGTAAATCATGATGAAAGTTATTTTATGTTGTTTATAACACTACCATTTCCAAAACTGCATCAGTTCTGAAAGTGTACTTATGCTCAATGTGTAATCATTGCTTAACCTATTTAACCTATCCAAAATCTGTTGCTTACCACAGTTTAAGGGGCTTTTGTTCCTTGATTCCTTCATCCCCTCAAAATAAAAGTATAAAGTTAGTCTTTTCCAGATTGTCACATCCAAGACTATTTCAGCATCTATGTGCACGAAAGATTTTGAGACAATTTTGTTCACTTCGTTTGTCATGTAACATCCACCAGTGGATCTGTCTCTCACTTCCATCAGCTTTTTTTGTTTTTTGTACTTTACTTGTCCAGGACATACAAACCGAATATCAAAAGAAGTCCTAAATTCAAAGATCTCATCCAGTCAACCACCACGGTGGCCAAACAAAGGGCCTCAGCTGAAGAATAGATTCAAGGGTTTTACTAGAAAAATGGATGTTAAATCCTTTTAAAGATGGATGTGCAGATGGAGAGGTATAATGAGACTCCACAGGAGTAATACTGATGGTCATGCTTTTGACCAGTCAAAAAAGGATTCACACTCATTTTTTGAGGAAAAGAATAAATGGACTGATGTGTCCATACAGATCGAGCTCTGACTAAGCCATTAGTGTGAACCTAGAGTCCTTCCTGGGTGTATCCTGGACAAGATGCTTACTTTGTGGAAAAGATTTTGGCTACATCTCCTTCTGGAGCAGCTGGGAGCAACATTTTGACTGTAAGCCAAGGGATAATGCTAATAAAAAGGCAGAGAGGAAAACAGTGATTACACAAAACCAGATACTGAAATAGTCTGGTTGGGGGGCTGGCAAAGATCAAGTTCAAATACTATCTGCTATTTCACACCAGCGCAAATTCCAGTTCTTTCTGTCTGGCAAATATTTTACTATTTCAATATTTGATATTTAATGTAGCACAACTGAGCACTGTGTGGACAGGACAAAGTTTATCTGATTGCTGAAAACAGCAGTTGTTTGAGTTATGCATATTCTAGTTACCTCCTTCTTAGTAACCTTAACTTCAAGGCACTATGAAGGTACACCTACAGATTTTCTTCTCCCAAAAAGTAGCTTGCTGCACAAACAGTGTCCCAAGGGATTGTCTTCTGGAGTAAAAGCCACCTACAAATTATTCTGTTGTTTCATGTTGCCACATTAGAGTCTTCCAAAATGCACTTCAAAATATCTGGCCTTCAAGATTACAGGGAAATTAATCTTGCTGACTTAAAATTTACATTTGACAAGCTTATTGGAATACAGTGTCAAAGCACTTTGGCAATCTGACAGTTTTCATGTTTCAAAGTACACGTTCCTAGCAGAAAGTGAAAATGAGGAGGATTAAAGTTCAGTAAATTAAGGCTACATTAAACTCAGGATTAATGTGACTTAATATGCATTCATTGATTTTATACCCCTAGTGATTTCATCTTAATATATCTAAGTGTCTCCATGCAGCCAAGGATCTAATTTTACAACCCTCACTTGCCTTGAGTCATATTTACTATCACTATTTTCATCTTCCTGCTTGCAAGAAAGAATAACTCAGTGATAAGGCTTGCAAAACTCAGCGTTGCTTGTCTTTCAAAACTACATTCACTAGACTTATCTTGACAGGTCAAGGGAAAAACTTACATGATCACTTTTAGATGATTCATTCTTTTACAGTGTTAAGTAATCCAGACAAAAACCAAAGATACAATGAAATCTGTTCATTTTCTACATCTTACTCCTTTAGAGAAGGTTCATAAAAGAAACACACCTGTTTGTTTCTTTCAGCAAGTACTGAGAGTATAAATACTACAAGTACTCAAATTGGTAAATAATGGGATTTATATTGCTATTTAATCTTTTAACTTCAGTTTTTCAATGGGAGTGAAAATCCTGTATTTTGATCTTTGAAGATGTCACTTGTTCATAAATTATTGATTCCTCTACCAGCTGAGGACACTTCTATAGGTTAAGATGTGCAAGATGTAGATTACAATTATCCTTTTTATCATGTGATGTGAGGACATTCAAAATACTATAGAGAAAAGCAGGCATTTTGGGGCCCGCATTCATGAAGCAAACAAACAATAACAATATTAAAAAAAGAAAAACCTTCAGTTTGAAGCTTCCTAACACTCTTCCCTAGCACCACCCCACTTTTAATCCTAAAGGACAAGATGCTTTGGTTTGTGTTATACTGTATTTAAAAGATTTGCAGGGCACACAATCCTTTGTGTTTCCACCTTGTACCAGCTCAATGAAAAAACGTTTCTGTGGTACATCCACATTCACAGCCAATTAAGCAATGTAAAAATAGATGCCATAATGCACCTACACATATATGTACTGACGTGCAAACACACAACCCAGCATGGTTTATATACACGGAAAATAATCATCTATCATTCAAGATATTGCATGGGATGTTGTCTGTGTTGTGCTCGTTGGCAGCTGGTGGATGGTGCAGAGCCAACTCATGACACTGTCTACCTCCTACAGGAGGCAGACAGGAGGCAGAGCCTGCCTTGAGGTCTCTGGGAATCTCTCAGGTCCTAAGGTAGTTTTGTCTCAGTAAGACAGAAAGTGGGATAATCTTTCAGAGCCACAGAATAATTTATTCTTCTGAACACCTTTTGAATTCTCATGTCTTTCCTTTGTGTCCCAAACCGTGTTCACCAGGTTTTATTTTCCTTCTGAGTGATAGCTTTGCAAGATCTAGATGTTGATCTTGAAAAGCAGCACTCCCTGGGTACCTCCTTTTGTTTCCCCAGGATGCCACCTGTGCCCTGACACCCCAAAGATCTCAGGTGGCCGTGCTGGTGCTGCCACATCTTCACCTTGGGCTTGGCCAGAGGGTCGCGTTAGCATGTCCACACTATATGCTGCTCTGGCCACTTTTGTTTCACATAGCGATTGAGAAAATTGTGGGTGACTCATGAGAAAAAAAAACCAACAAAACAACAACAAATTGCAGCTAGCACTTCTGCCCCTCTCCTTTTCTTCATCTTAATTATTTCCAGAAACAGGCTAAAACTGAAAAGGCCCAACCAGCCCTTGACAGCAACCCTGCTGCAGCAGGATCTGTCACGTCAGCAGCCCATGGGGTGTGACTTGTACTGTCACAGGCCAGCCCTACCTTCACTCTCCAGGGAGAGAACAACAGCCTGAAGATATGTCAATCCAACTGGCACCTTTTCTGAGTATTAAAGACATCTGCAGTAAAAAACAGAAAACAAAAGGAAGAATGAAAGAAAGAAAAAGCTGCATTAATGTCAAGAAATCTGTTTTCCAGTAAAGACAGAACCTAAGAAAACATTTTGTCAGCCTCCTTTCTGCTTGGGATTTTCATTTGATTAACTAGGAATCGTGATGATATGCTCAGAGATAGCATAGTGTTTGAACATTGCTTCATGAAAAATGTTCCAAAGGCAACAAACACATCTGTATAGGTCAGATTGCTTTGTCTTTCTTTTATGCCCCACAAATGCTCATGGGGACAGGAGTGCCCAAATGGACATCAGGGATCAGGTTTTGGCATCCACAAAGCAAAAAGAGAAAAGCAAGCGTTAAACCCATCAGCTTTTTATTTTATATTATTGTAGAGGAGAGAAACATATTCATAAGAGGTGTTGCCTTTAGTGTGCGTGGCTGTGGTGAGAACAGCCCACACACAGGTGAGGAAACTCTGGATACCCCAGAAGGGAAGAGGCAGGAGGCCATGGGCAATTTTTTGTTTGACTGATTTTGTTCCCTGTTCTTCGTTCCTATGGATTGCCCCAGTGCTGCCTGAAGATGCAGCTCCTGATTTTTCCTGTGGTGTTGAGGTGGCCCACTTAGAATTTTTTACCTTGAATGGCAGCACCTCTCCTTCCACTTTTGCTACCAAAAGTCATCCTGGTACTGGCCTTTAAGTACCACGCAGGAAAATGCAGCATTCTCACAGCCATCATACTGCAAAACTGGCATAATGGGGCTGGGGATGAAGGAAGGATGCTGCTTGTATTTGTTTTCCCTCCCTCTCCTGACAATAGTTCCTAAATATCTTTGGGTTTTGACAAATCAGGGTGCTGCTTGTGAGAAGCTACAGTTTTAGGAAACAAAGAGAAGGGAAAGACTCTGGTCCCATGTGGGGGATGTTTGCTGACAGTTAGTGGGCTTAGTGTCTAGTATCTTTGATATTTGTAAGGATCCCCTCTTAGATGGCTCTGTACTCTCAGTTGGCAGTAGTGCAGGTGGTAGAAATTGAGAAGCTAAAAAGAAGCTTTTTTTCACCCCTGGGTCTACAGATGTTTCATATAACATGTTTGGAGGCACTTGCTTGCGGTATGATTCCTATGCATTATTGCTTTCATTGTTCTTGTATATCATGAAAAGTGCTAGACTTTTAAGAAACATTTATTTATTTATAAAAAATCTTTCCCTGAAGGAATACGAGGGATGGTCCTTAATTTGCTGTGGCGTCTTCTTTCTGTGCCTGCCTTTCCTCTTTTGTCACAGTATTGACAAAAGGCTTTCTACCCGCCCTCCTTTAAGTATGCCATGCAGCTGCATGGTGTGCAGTTTCTCTTCCATTTCAGGCACTGTGAATGCTGGTATCCAGACTCTTTAACCCCACCATAATTCTGCCCTCCCTAGCTTGCAAATCCCCCTCCACTGAAGCCCAGACTGCTGTGTGGAGTGAGATGTTTCATAAATCCTTTCTGCATGGGCTTTAAATTGGATGTAAAAATAAAAAACCAACAAACAACCC